GCCCTAAGCTATCCAAACGCACTAGAATGGAATGGAATGCTTATTGCATAAGCACTGCTCATCCTGTTATCTTGCAAAGTTTTGAATATACGCATCGTCTCGGACCTAATTAATCAGTCATCAACAGCAAACCAGAACTTCGTACGTACGTACATCAGACCATGTTGCCATACCATATTAGCACAGAGATGTAATTGTCAATTCAAATCCCATATTAGTAGAAGTAGTTAAGGTATTATCAGTAGTCGGAGAGGTTAGTGTAAGAAGATGTTATTCAAGACGTAGAATCTAATGTAATAGACTTAAAAAGATACAGTGACTCAGTCCACTTGTCAGTAGCGTCATGTATTTCTGCCATGTTTTGGTCCGGTCGCCCCTAACTTTTTTCCAACCTATTCCTACACCGTAAAATATACCTCGACGAGGCAGTCGGTGGTTAGGCATACGCAAAACATGTACCACCCACCTCAACTGATGGATTTTCAATATTTCATCTCTTGATCTGCCGTCCCTACCAAATAGTCGTTTACTAACTACAGCATTGGTTACTCGGTTGCCCCTGGATACACAAGCAGTGCTTCGAAGACATCTATGATTGTCTTGGACTAAGCGTTTTGGAATCAGTTAACAGTTTCGAGTAATTTTTACTTTGTGGTAACCGAATTGATAGATTAGTCTATAAAACCTTCAGTCAGTCATAGGGGATTTGAAAATTACATATTTCTTCGTCTTCGACAAATGGAATGGCTTCAAATAAATTCTACTGCGAAGATATGAACACTAACAAACAGTACAGAGGCTAAAACCCCGATGTATATTGTTTGGTCTCATATAGTAAATAAAGCAGAATGCCTGGTACTTTTTCAAGTAGAGTAGACTGTTATCAAACAAAAAAAAATAAGTGGTAATCACTAACAGCCGTGCTACTGTAATAAATTTGAACGAAATTGTAAACTAGCCGAAGTATATCCTTGTTTGTTTGCATAATTGACGTATGGTATAGATATGTAATTTTAGACGAATCGATCCCTGTAGAGTGAGTGATGTTCAGTGATGAGTTAAATACTGTCGTCTAAGTCTTTGTGAAATGTCGTCTTTTAGTATGGATGAAATTATTAAAATAGGAGGACTTTTGAAGTAATCTGATTTCGTCGAAAATCTATGGATTTTTTCTTTCCTGTCAGATTCACTTACATATTTATACATCTGTAATGTTAGTATCGTACACACTATAATTAATACCACTTTCTACACTAGTTAACATGATTGGATGATTTGTATCGCTTATAGATAATGATTGAACCTTGAATCTATATTCGATAAATTTGATGCTTGGTTATATTTCCTTGAAAAAGGTTGGACCAGATTGTCAAGCGAAGCTTTGAATTGAACTTACACATATAATATTTCTCTTTAATACTCTGATTCAGTTTTGTACAATGACCCTATGTATGCCTATTAGTCATACACACATATGTTGTTATCTATCGAACATAGTATTGATTTTGCATGAATTTTGCACCAGATTATCAGAAATTAGTCGATCTGCATGTGTTTGTATGTGTGAATGTATGGATACAGTTTTTTTTTAAACTTGTGACTATTTCGCTAGTTTACTTTTGCATGCTGCTTATGAATTAGTTGTTAATTATGCACTATTTTGCTATAAATGAAGAGGACTTTTGTGTATTAACATTCCTGACAAAAACATAAAAATAAATAACAATTAGTAAGAATTCACGTGTGACTTGTGGAGAGATTTATTTAGCTTAAAGTTAATTAACACAGGCTGTTGCTATTATTTGAATGTAACCATTAACAACCAGTTAGTTGATCAGATGTTTTCCAACTAGTATTGGACTCCTCAGTGATACAAACACATGATCTCATATAGACTTTCATTTCTGGATTGGTTTTCCGGTTGATGTTAATGAAAACCGTTTTTAAAAAGGTGACAAAACAGCTTTTATTGTATCTATGGTTTCGATACTTTATTGGTGAACCGGAAACAAATAGAAATGACCAATCAGAACAAAGATAGTGATAATTGAATTATGTCGAGATTTTTAGAAATCGATTACGGACAACCTGGAAGGGAGAACCATGTTTTTGACTAGATTTTTTGTTCTGTGTCTAATTTGGATGATTATCATGATGATGGTTATATGATCATCGACTAGTTACAAAAAAACCTTGAGAAATACTATCTTAGTAACCACAAGCATCAAATGACGTACAGAGAAGTTATAGAGTTCAGAGACGAGGTTGTTTTATGGAGCATAATATGCTGAGCAAAGGAGATGTTTAGAAATAAGATTGTTGGGGATGTTAGATCTCCAGAACTCGCTTGATAAATGCCTTATTTTGGATTTCACGTTTGCCAGCATGGGCTGACCATTTGACCTTGAGATTTCATTTCCCACAAGGAAAATCCTTGGCTGTGATTAGCTGCTGTGTATTTTAGTGTGCTATTTTCATAACTGTCCCAAGGACGTATAAATAAACGAGATTTGTGTGCTTGATTGTATTGTGATTGCTGGGTGTTTGTAGAATATACTTTCTACGCCTGCCAAGTCTTCCGTTTTGCAGTTTCGGATTCAAGGTAGCCTACCTGGACACTGGTAATTGTCTCGTTATAGTTTATCGACTAAGGTAAACCGTAATAGTTTCAAGCATATTCAGTGACGAACCTTGCAAAGATTATCTTTGTAAGAGCATTCTAAAACTCTACATTCCTTGCAATTTCATTTTTTCGTAATGCACAGTTCACTTACAACAGCTATATTTTAGTTGACTTGTCAATATCACTCAAGGCCTCTGGTATAGTTCAGTTCTTTTTTGGTTTCATATGTATTGGAAATCATCATTTCATAAAATCATCATAAAATTTATTGCACATTTCATTCTTGAGCCATGCAAATGAAATAATGGATAGAACATTGTTCAGCCTGTCTTCAGATATTCAATAGTCCATTATCCACCAAAAGATTGAATAGGAATTAAATATCGCGTTTCACAGTCTTAACAAAGTTGATGTTATCAGAATTTCATAATTGACTAACTCTTGAAACCTCTAAGAATATTGGTTTGGTAGTGTAAGTTAGTTTGAATGAGTTACTTATTATTTGGGAAGCTTAAGAGCAATTCATCTAACTAATATTCATCACTCATCAGTATACTTCTTCGGAAGCTCCATTAAAGTCTTCTCAATCAAGAGATATTGTAGTAATGTCAAGTGTTGGAATATATACCAAATAATTCTGTGACATTATTGGAAACTACTTAAACATTTTTAGTTAGACTAGAATCTACAGCTAGCCACCGTCCAAATCGGCTTCATCAGATGGCGTCCGTCGGAGCTTTCAGCTATCTCCATTTTCATCAAGCTAACTGTTATTTCTTGTGGTACTTACACGCGGAATTTCTCACTTACTCGGGGTCAGTAAAAAGAATAGATCTATTTGTAGAAAATTCTAATGAACTATAGTTTCTTAAATATCTTATTGATTAACACATGATTGCTTAGGATGCACTACTTTCCTTTCAAAATTGAAATGGTGCTTTAAGATTTGTCTTCGACTATGTCCAGCTAAGCCAAACGGGATAAGATATTCAAGCATGTTTTTTCTCTTATTTTGCGAATTTTATTGATTTTAGAGGGTTAATGGCTGGTAAAATATTGGTACCTATTTTGAAAACATGTCTGTCATTTCCCACTCCTATTTCATCTGACCCTAATGCTTAACTAAAGACGGTTAAACTGCATAATAATCAATCGTTATAGTATATTACAGCTACAAAAGTGATATGGGAAGTAAACGAAATTAGAAGTGTGTAAGTATTTGAATATGGGTTCCTTTGAAGCTTTGTTTTCATTTGCTGGTATCACCAAGTGAGGAGTACTCATAGTGAACATTTTGTGAGGTAAACGTAGAAAATAGATTTTTAATATCTAGAATATTTATCACTTAGAATAGTACATTTGTTTGGCATATAACTCAGTGATTATTCTGCTTTGTGGTGCCTAGCATAGAAGTTGATTACATAGTTTAAGGACAACAAGCATAAGAAAATACATTTGTCATTGGATAAAGGGAAGACAAATAAATATTTCCAAGTTAAATCTGTAACAGTTTCCCAATAAATGATCCGTTAACTTCATTATGCATGATTGTTGTACCCCGAGGTTGGAGTTCAATCCGAGTCTAAGATACTTACGGATTCAGAGACATTGATTGAGCTACTCTAATGTTATCGATTCTCTTTGAATTGAACAACGGCAATTCACATACGACACACCGACACCTGATGTCTTACACAAAAAGAAGGCGAAACGCAGGGAGGGGCAGCACTACAAATCCGATTGGTACAACTTTCGTAACTTAGTCACCAAACATTATCCTTAAGCATACAGAAATTTAGTGGACTAAAAATAATAACTACCATTCAGCAGGCAGGGGTCATGGAAGAAATTGTATTTCATCCCACAGTGAGCAAAAATTATCCACCACTCACCTTTACTCAAAAATACTTAGTGGCAATATCAAGGCCATCCTCACAGTATGCTCATATATCGAGACTTATCAATTGCAGTTCTTAACATCAATACGAGTATTCAAATTACCAATACATGTAGCAAATAATGATTCATTCGTTGGACGTTTTAAGCATATTTAATTTTGAAGATTAAGATGAGCTTAAGAACCATTGAAACTATAGGGCATTGTCCTATTCGAGGAGTCTGCACGATCTAGAAACTCCATAACTTTAGCTACATCCCTAGTGGATAAATATCTCACTTCCAATAAAGATTTCACTCTTCTAGTAAGTCATTTTTTCTCAGAATCATAAAGTCCATCCATACCGTCTTAGCTAATATTATACGGAGAACTTCTTGATATTTTGTTTTATCTGTTTTGATTTTATCTCTTCTTACTGAATCTCCGACTTTCGATCACAAACTAAATGTACGTTTACATACATGGATCACCCATATACAGTTATGTACTCCAAACAATTCCATTGGACTTGAGAAGCATGACAAGCTAGATAACAATCGGGAGTCATTCTTCGATAAAACTGATTTTGATGATGATCACAAATGGGAGCAATTTTATGAATTTAATAAATTATATTTAAACTGTCTTGCAGTATATTTAAATGAAGTGAAGTGTTTTGTTACTACAATCAATGATGGAAAACTGTCACAATCACAGTCAGTCACAACAGTAACAAACGACACCGTTCATATTAATTCTGCTAGTCAGTCTTTTAATTATCCTATTACACATTTGAATAGTAGTATTCTATTGAATACAAGTTGGCAGCAAAAACAATTGGATAACGTTGACAAAGAACGTGAAATTTTACAAGTTAGTTTAAATTGAGTTTTTCTATTATCTACCGTCTAGATCGAGTTCAAAATTAACATGTAACTTACTAGACGTTACTATGAAAGTTTAGCTATACTATCGGTCAAGTTGATGATATGCTGTCTGCAATTAGTAGATTAGATAATTTTCTAATTAAAATTTTATTGGAGAACGATAAAGTTAACTACATGTCGATAATATACGAATATGCATATAGGACTTTGCAATTTTTATCATTTCAAAGACAGCTGTAAATATTTTGATAAATTATCTGTATTTCCTTGATTGCATTATCTGATCAAGCTTCATCATTCTGGACCACTTGGTCGTGGATTGTGTATAGCTTACGAGATTAATAGAACTAGGCTAGTTATGTTATTCTAGATATGTTTGATCTTAACTAATAAACATTCGGTTTTGAGTCTATGTTATACATTGAACTGAACAAAGTCATCCAATAAAGTAATCATCTGTAGTTCTCAAAGTATACATTTGAATTCATAATGTTTTGTAGATAATAACGAAGAATTAAATTAGACTATATCAATCAATCAGGAGACTTTTGTGTGTGGTGTACAAGCAAACAAAACTAACTCTGTGTGATTGTTACTAATCCACAGAATTCCTTCGTATGTTACACTATTAGTCAACATGAGTTCAAGTTACCTATGTTAATTGATAAGTGTTTTTTATTTTCTATGAATCAGGAGAAATTTAATGTCTGACATATGGATTATCCATTTGAAACTACGTCTGAGTTAACTCAACTTAAAATCAAGCTGTTTTCTAAAATCATCATTGTTTAACTGTTGGGGATGTTAGATCCCCAGAACTCGCTTGATAAATGCCTTATTTTGGATTTCACGTTTGCCAGCATGGGCTGACCATTTGACCTTGAGATTTCATTTCCCACAAGGAAAATCCTTGGCTGTGATTAGCTGCTGTGTATTTTAGTGTGCTATTTTCATAACTGTCCCAAGGACGTATAAATAAACGAGATTTGTGTGCTTGATTGTATTGTGATTGCTGGGTGTTTGTAGAATATACTTTCTACGCCTGCCAAGTCTTCTGTTTTGCAGTTTCGGATTCAAGGTAGCCTACCTGGACACTGGTAATTGTCTCGTTATAGTTTATCAACTAAGGTGAACTCGTGATAGCTTCAAGCGTACCAAGTGACGAACATAACATTAACATTGTCTTATTTATTTTATTCTAACAAAGGAGTACCTAAATATTTACTCTCCATAAATCATTGAATTTATGAGTGGAATGAAGTTATACCCGGATGCCCAAACCGCAGCATGTAGTTTTGGGCGTGGGAGCCACTCCCCGAGCTATTGACCCAAAAGTCTAATCCACAAGGCAGTGGGACAACGTCAGGGGATGCAATCTCATGGTAGACGGTGACCAACAATAAGTCCATATGCCATTTGTTCCCTCGTGATTCTGTAGTCTACGTGCACCATCGATTTATAACTAGGGTTTCTCAACTCCTCTAGGTTAATCCTCTGTTCCTACTAACTCAGTTAAAGCTACAGGCATTCGCTTTTCATCCTCTCAATCCCGTAAACAACGCCCCCCACTATAAAAAGGCAGCGAGTAAGACTTCCCTGTCAAACACTATTATGCGCGAACATGTGAGAGAATTTGAAGAAGTGTGGACTCTCGGATGTACCAAGGCATTTAGAGACAATAATTTTGTTTACTGTAGGTTGGAATCTTGAATAATTCTCCTAAACGGAATTAATATCGTTTTATTATAAATGAAGATATCATCGTTAAGAATTCATCAGTTATTTATTTGACGATTTTTTTTGATTTTTTTTTAGGAAAATTTCAATGAATTAAGTGTTCTAGCTGATTTTCTTCACGAATTTTTGTTGTCATCATTACCATCATATTCATCATCTAGTTATTCTTCTGTAATAAAAACTTCAAAACAACAAAAACTATGGAAAGAATTAATTAATGAAATGCGATCAATTTCATCGCGTGCATTTGAACAATATACTTGTCTTGGATTTATAAAACAGATTATTCTTAGACCCGGTGGATTATGGGATCTGTCTAATTTTTTAATAGGTCTGTTTTTTATTTTGTTTACTGATTATTTTTTTTAAGCAGACTAAATCTGAAGTGTGAATTTTGTTGAGGAATTGTTGCAAATAATTGTAAAGAATCTTTTATTTCGTACTTGTTAAGACGTTTCGGTAGAAAATATCTGCATATTTCTGCAGCAGACTGTCTGAAATCTGTAATCCACCTGTAACTTTCATCTTGGATGATCATCCCTTATAACTATTCAAACTTTAGATCAGAATTTTCGGTTATTTACTCGCTATTTGCTAAAACAATTGGGAATATAGGTTGTTATACTTTGTCAAATGACCATTCGCGTGGTATCATTTTACATTTGGCAGGTTTGAAACCTATATGAAGCGTTCTGCACACACTCATTGAACATGTTAATATCATCAGACTCAAGACTTATGTTCGAAACCTATGACAAAGTTGAACGTAGTTAGTGAAGAAGAACATTTTTGCGAAATGCTATATCAAATGATAACTCTGACACAAAGTCCAAAGGAGAGCCATTCGTAACAAAGTTTCCACTTCTTATCGAATTCATATGTGAAGCATCCCATCCAACTTTCAATCTGTTTATACTGATGGATCAGTTTTCCAAAAATCTATATGCTTTGAATTTTTACTGTTGTTTCTAGAACAAACTAAATACACAATCTATCTCATGACAGGTGTCGTTTACGCACTTCCTTAAATTTCTAACTTGTTCTTCTGTAAATATTAGATTTTCGCATCTTTAAACCCAAATAAAAATGTTTCTGAACTGTGTCTATAAAGCAGAAGGACTTTAATCTGGGGAAAAATTGAGCAAATACCATATTTTTCTTAAAACGACAAGCGGCAATTTGATTTTTCGTTCGTCATTGAGTTAGTACCTAAAGTTAAAATGCAAATCTCATCTCACGTTGTGACGTCAGTGTTAATGATAATAAAACTGTAGGAATAATTACTCTCCTTGGTACTTCATGACATTGTGTTGATATCTTTTATATGTTTTCGGTAAAATACATGTATCTATCGAAAGCTTATCACTAGGTTCAGAGATGGAGACTATATTATCTTAATCAACACGGACCATCATACTTGCGAATTCCTACTGGGTAGTTTATACCCAAAAACGCGCAGCAGAATCTCAATGACGAATCAGGTCGAACGAAATAATTATGTTTTAGGACAGGACTGTCGCATAAACCATAGGATAATCATGGTGATTGTAACAAAGTAATGCTTAGTAAATAACCCCACATGAATCGTGTATATGTGTCTTGATGACCGCTAACCGATAATCACGTGTCAAGTCACCAACCAGAATCCTAATTCTTACTTGGTCTATTTTGTGCCCACCAGTTTACTTAACAGTCTAGTGTCTCCGATTCGGCTAATCGCTTGGTCGATCAGCACGATTGATTTTAAGTCTACAGTCAAAGTCCTATTGGTCCACTATTTGTAATATCCTCTCCTCTCTCCTCTACTATACTTGTATTTCACACAGACATGGTTTATATGCAGACATACTGGATCGCATTAAACCAATAAAGGAAAATTGGAGATCATACATAAACAAGCCAAAAGTGTCTGTAAGTAGGGGAAACTGTGAGTAACAGACTGGCAACAAATTCAGAGTAGTAAGTCTTATAACATGAGTTGGTGAGCTAGCTGAATGCTTGTGATCACTACAGTAAATAACTAAGTAATCTATACAATCATTAATATTCCGAAAAACTATTTCCAACGTCTACCATAGTAGTTCTGTCATAACAATGTACCTCATAAATGTGAAGTGCACACTCAATCGTCGATCCAGAAATTTCGGCCAGATCTATTTCTGCTTCTGAATTTGTGATAAATAACATGGATTCTCGTTAATAGCTTCAGATTACAAAGACCTTAAAAAGTCTAAGAATGATGATGTTATCATAAAGGGGTAATTGGTAACGGACTGAGACCATTGGTCATTGAATTTTATCCATTTCACTGTCATTAATATCTGTGTCCAATCACCAAATTATGTCCTAGAACTTCATTGGTTATTATACAGATTGTTTGTATTATAATACCAGATGATTTGATGTTTACGAATCTACAATCTACATATGAAGAAATGTGTAAAAGGCAAGTATTTATGCTACTATTACTTGATTAGATCATCTTATCCTAATTTCAAAGTTACATCTCTTGGTATTTCTGAGAGATTTCAATTGCTTATGCTGTCTGTCTTAAACTATTGCAAAATGCTTATCGTTTATTTTGTTTTTGTGCTTACCTCTCAATAGAACTATTAAATCAATTAATCAATGTTTCTCAGTCACATAGTTCGACAGAATCGGATCTATATATTTTTGAACTTTCTATTCGCCATTTAAGTCATCAAATTTGGATTGAATTAGCTTCAATTAATAATTTATCGAATGAATACTTTGATAAAACTGAAGATATTGGTATAACTGGATGGTTTGAAGCATGGATTTATCGTTTACAAGAGATATATCGACTAGTGGTTGATAAATGGACTGAACAAATGCATCGATTTCGTAACAATGTACAAATCCGTACAATTAATGATTGGTGTAATTACGTTACAAATTGTATTCCTGAACATGAAATGTAAGTGGAAAGATCTTTTTGTTCCTCAATATATATATATATATATATATATATATATATATACATATAATCTGGACCAGTCTACATACTACCCGAAGAAACATATCAGTCAGTCAGCTACAACGTAGAACTTCGTAAGTTTTATGTTTTCTGCTTGATGTAACGCCAAACCGCTGTATTAATGACCCCCGAACGTTAGACTCCCACCGCTCAAAAATAAGAAGACGGAAGACGTTGGAGAACACTTATGAATCAAAAATATACAATCAAACATGCGTATTTATACAATTATACATATAATCGATATTGTCGTTTAAATATTTGAATATTAAATCCAATAGTTCATCGATCGACTGCCCTTGAAATATTTAAGGATTTAATCGATAAGTTCATCAATCCACAATGTGCGTGGCTTCCTTCTCGATTGGCTATCCCAACAGTAATCATGTACATGAGTTCAAGTTACCATACCACTTAAGAACTGAGAGATGGAATTGTCATTTCAAATCAAATAGTGAGAAAGGTTGTAGCAGATTTAGTGTTAATCGAAAAGATAAGGGTTAGAAGAAATCATTCAAGAAGTATAATCCAATGAAATTAGTTTAAAAAGATGTGATGAGGAATTCATTAGATCAGAATTTGAGAGAAGACAAAGAATGGATGTGTCTGTGCCATTGGAAAGGATTTTGATCCGTGTCATTCAAAGTCCCTAACCATTGGTTATTATTGTCTCGCTGACTCCAACCGGGTAGTCTACACTTACCAACATGACTCAATCCACTTGTCAGTGACTCCATGGATTGGCGCTATGTTTTGGTTTGGCTGTCCGTAACTTTCTTCCAGCCTACCTCTACATCGCTAAACATAACTCATCGAGGCTGTCGGTTTGTTCTAGGAGCTGATAAGTTGTGAATATATGGCCAATACATCCGCACCCAGGTCTTATTCCCCACTAATTTTTCTGAGTCTTCTCCTTACAAGTTCTAGTTAGGCTTCGAAGTATTATTGAAGTTAATGTATTATACACTATATTACTCAAACTGATTCCTCCGTGATTGTCACAAGAGGACTCTTGTCCTTTGTTATAAATCGGGACAATCAGGGATTGAGATCAGTCAAGTGCGATTACTCCCAGTTCCCAGATTCTACCTAAGATTTCAGTCAATGTAACTGCTAAAACTGGACCACCATCCTTAAAAATCTCAGCGGTCAATCTATCAGGTCCTGCTGCTCTCCCTCGCTTCAGATTTCCTATAGTCTTTTCAACTTCATAAAGGTTCGGAGGGCTTATGTCGACTTGCCATTCAGGGTGACTGGAGATCGTAGGCTGCTGAAGTTTTGCTGAAGGCCAATTAAACTGCTCCTGAAAGTGTTCTGCCCATCGATTCAATCTCCTGGATTGGGGATGAATATTAGTTCCATCGTTTTCGGGGATAGTTTCGCTGATAGTTGGATTCCTCATATCGGTTTCCTTGATGAGTCTGAACAGTTGTCTACTCTTACCTATTTGTACTTACCTACTATAACGTCTCAGAGTAGGAAAAAATAGTTATTCTACATTCCTCTATGCTGATGAATGGATAACCTTAGATATTTAGCTACCACAAAGCCTTTTGGTAAACAGTGCATCATCAGCATTATGTTCCTCAAATTTTAAGAAACATTTTCTTGCTAATCCTATAAATTGTTATTTGTTTCATATTTTATTTTGAAACTTTTATTCACTGATAATGATGCATAACCACATCATTAGTCGGAGAAACCAAGTGTTAAGTTGGTGATTAATCAACTACAACCTTAGAAAGGTAGAACATACGACAATTGTTTGTGCATCAAACGAAAGCTTACAAGTAGTCGAATACAGGCATACAATAATTCAAGTATTGATTAAATATGCAATAAAAATATAAACAATTTTTTGTAAGGTAGTTTCGAAGGTTATATTTAGTATCATATTCGAGCACCGTAAATGACCTTGTTATGACTAGAGTTCTAAATGAATTCAATTGTCAATTTAGGTGCCTATATAGTTAACAAAATATTGATGAATCTGAACAGCCTGTGTTATTTTGTCTTTGATTAATTATTTATTTGTTAGTTAACAGATTTATTCGAATTTGATTCGGTGGTTACCTGCAAAATATCACTTGATTGATTTTGTCACTCTATAATTAGGCTGAAAAAGTTGATATTTTTATTTTTCGTTGGAGTATTTTAGTACGTCATTACCATTTTTATTTATTTACTAAGATAGAAAGTGTTAGACAATCGTCACTGTTGACATTAAATGATTGTTTTAAGTTAGAAATTTGGTTCGTCAAACTTCAAATCACCAATGTAAGTATATCGTTCTTGTCACGAGATCTAAGAGTTTTGGATTTGATCCATTGGGAATTGCAAGGTGGCTGTCGAGTCATCCCAAACTAATGCGATGAATTTGTCCAGTACTTCATCTGGTTTTCTGCGGTTCACCAACTACTATCGTTTCATGATATAAACTAGCTTTTGATTCAACAGATGTGTGGTGGGAAGTTTTTTCCTTTCCAATTCATGCAGCCAAAGCGGTAGCAAGTAATACACACTGCGAAGATCGTTATGAGGATATCCAGAAAATAAGCCAAGGACATTGACTTCAGCTTTTTAATCTTGAATTACCAGTTAAGTTATCATCACTATTCCTGGATATATATGTTGTCGAGCTGGGATATCGATGATATTATATTGTTACCATGTATGACACAATGCTTTACTGTCAATGATAATTGAAAACTTATTAAGTGTTGTTTACTGTTGCTGCGACCCTTGAAGCAGTTAGGTTATTTATTATTGACAATATTATTCTTATTATATTGAGAATATTGAAAAAAATATGAGAAGAAAAGCATTTAATTGATTTTTAATACTACAATGCTGCTAGTGATTCATCCGTGTCAACCATGTCATAACAATGAAGGTAATAATTCAAAAGAATACAAAAAGTAATGTGAGAACTAAAAATTCAAATAAATTGTACATGTTTTTGAATAATCATTTCTAGCTATCACATATCGTGACAAAGTATACAAAAATACCCAGTCGTCATGTCTTTTCGAACATAAATTTATTAGTGACTTACCTTATTTTCATGATCTTTCAACTCCATGAGTTCTGATAAAATTTCGAAATAGGAAACCAGTAATCGTACAGGTGATTTGATTCGACAAGCATTTGGTAAAGGGACACATATAACTGATAGATCGTTAGTATTCTCTTTATCGATAAGAGTTGTATCATTGGTACTCATCGTCGATATCTATTAAATGTATGATACACGTTTTTAGATTTATATATATATATATATATATATATATATATATATATATATATATATATATATATATATATATATATATACAGATAGATTCTGAAATTACGTTAAACAAATTAATTGCTAAATAATTAAACAGTTTATTCTTTAAAAACTATGCTTCTTGTCATTTCGAAGTCAAGTCTATATCGAGTAAGTATGAACATTTTGTTGATATAGTCAGTTTAGATAGGTACAAATGAATCCAGTAGTGTCATAAATAATGGTCGAAACTGAGCACTGCATGGATATGCTTTGTTAATAGTTATCCGAATCTACATTTTATCTAAAATACTATAGTAGTGATTGCAAAAATGATGAACAAAGGTTAGAATTTGTTCAGACGCGATTTACACTCCCTGTTCATAGGAAAGATTATACTACAGATCTAGATTCCATAAAGTTGGAATTAACCATTTATAAAAAAAGAGGAACTGGAAGTAAATCAAATCCATTCCTCCGAAATACTAAAAAAACTATCTTTAACATCTACTGATTCAGTCTTATGTGCAGTAACATTTAATAACATCCGTGAATCCAAATCATCATTCCCGACCGTTTCTACTACCTTGATGTGGTGGTGGGGTTTGATTATCGTAATGACCCAATCGGAAAACAGTAAGACTAAAAGTAGCTACTCAAGGTCTGAGGGCGAAGTCGTACTGCTGACTGTAAACAAGTGTGACAGCAGTAAGGTGTTTCCATCGGACAACCAGCATCTGCAGCGATGTGCATGACTGGCCTCAAGAAGTTGTCTCTTGAACTCTGCGGTCATGCTCACAAGTCTCTAAGACCAACACTAGTCTACCTTCCTTTTCAGGTTCCTCAAGAAACACCCTTCCACGGTGTGGGCAGCCGGGAAGTGACATCCACTCCCATACTCGTAATAGCACGCGACACCAAATCGGTCACAAACAAATCCTTCCTACACCCCGTAACATCTCTCTTATCTCCACGATTGACTATACCCACATTGCTTTATCATCCCGTACCGCTAATGTAAACGATGCGAGTTCACGAGACGTTATCCTGGTCTCCTGAAACCTCGTTCTAGTCTACAATTTGGAGCATTTAATGTACGGACATTGTGTCAAATAGGGCAACAGGCTTCCTTAGCTAGGACTCTAGGACCTCGCGCCATAGATGTATGCTGTGTCTCCGCAACGTGCATGCAGGATCCTAGTAAAATCACTAACTTGATTTCACCTTGTCAAAATAAATAAGCAGCTCGATTTACTCTTTGTGTATCTAGTAGCCATGATGCTGCTTCCCGGGGTCTCGCTGGTAAAGGTATAGCATTAAGTCGTAGGGAAGAACTAGCACTCCTAGACTGGATCCCAGTAGATAGTCGATTTTGCACTGTCAGACTGAACGGGACAGTAAGGAATCAGAAGATAGGTTACTCGCTGTTGCCTCTTCCTCGTATCTACCTACACTAATGAGGAGATAATAATCGTTGGTGTTTGTAAAGATTGTTCGGCTTTTAGGTATTTTTTTATCAACTAAACCAGAAAGTAGTTGATAACTGTTGTATCTTAGTAAGTTTCTTGTCAATAACTGGAATTTAATCACAGACTCATAGGTGCAATGTAGAATATTGTTGGTAATGCTAGTTTCGCAGAAATCGCTTGGTGAACCTCTTGATTTTGTAATTTAATCTTGGAAGTTTGTTACATTCAGTTTGTGTTTCTTAGTTAGACCCCATTGGTTAGTCTTCTCTTTTAGTGTGCTATTTTATAACTCTTCCAAGGTCACGTTTTGTACTGTATAAATTACGCTTGAGTTGAATGTTTACTAATTCGTTCAGTCGGGGCCGTTCGTGGATTATACAATCTTCCTTCTGATTTCAGACTTATTTCTTTAGTCAGCTTGGCTGGGCAGCAGAGAATAGCTAATTGTTCCGTTATTATGTCACTGGTTCACGTTCTGTTTCCTGATATCCAGTCGTTCATAATTCTGTGTTGTACAATCTGTTCACATTAATGATGACCACGTGTGTGTATTAAAATGTCTAACATCGAAAATACGTGTCAAAACATTTAAAGCACCAAGGATATATATATATATATATATACATGTTATGTGTACTTATTTACGAGAATGATATTTGTACCGTGATTGACATTATTGATTTTAATAAATTATATGATCATAGTCAATAGATTTTAATATTAATTTTATATAGTAATTTTTTTTATTGTTAGGTTCCAAAATCTACCTCCTAACTTGGCATCTTTACCTTATGATCATCAACAATCAAGAAAACATCATTTATTTGACAAATCAATAAATAAAGAATTTCATTTTGCTATACTTTGGTCTTTATTATGTGATGCGGAAATAATTCAAGAGAAGTACAATGTTCAAATAGAAACATCTTGTTCGATAAGTAAACAATTCACCGAAACATTACACAAATTGAAACAATATTTAAATAAATACATTGAAAAGTTCACCATGTTATCAATGGATAATGTCAATTCTACGCTACACAATTCTAATCATAGCTTAATAACACCACTATTAAAACAATTAGAATATAGTTTATATGAAATTCCTGATCAGTGTCGTGTATTTTCTTTAGAGTTAATTGATAACACTTTCAGTGTTTCCCATCAGTCTGATCAGTTGCGTGTCATGTTACAAGAGTTACGGCGTTTACGTAATTTATGTGAACGTAATTATCTGCTATGTAATCAATCTTTAAGTCTTTTGCATAAAATAAGCCTTTCCAATTTAGATCATTATGAGTCGAATGCTGTGAAAGATATGCTTCATGTGTTAACTACATGGACTTATGGTTACTTTGTCATTCGTCATTCGTTAGAACGAGTTATTCGTGCTGGAGGTGTTGTTGAATCTGAAAGATATCCATTGAGAACAGTAATAGCGAATGAATTACGTTCAGAAGCAGTAAGTAAATAGTTTTGTATTGACAAGAAAATTTCTATCCATGATTTCTATGTAATGATCGATCTACTCATCAATTGTCCTTCTAGTCCATTGGCTGACCAGTTTCGACACTTAACCTCTTCAAATCTGTAACTTTATGCTATATTTGTTCGATGTATTTATGATAAAATCCCACCAACTACCCCTATGATTTTCCCTACACTACCTGAAATCGGCAGATCTAATATTCTATTATTTAAGTTTTGAACTGTATTGATTTCATTCTTTAGTATTGAGAAATGTACTATACAATTCATGATGATTCATTTTGTGCCAAAAGACATTAAATTTGTGCTATGCAATTTGTATAATATGTTCTATGAGTATACAATATATGAAAATATGCTATAAATGTATGTAGTCCAACGGTTTAAAATAGTTTATATATATAAAAAAAAATCATATTTAACTACGTAAACGTTTGAAATAAGATTGTAACATTTGTATCATGTTCAAACTTGTACAATGAGATGATGATATAATTGTCATTAGCAAATTTGCCTACTATCAATAATACATTATCAATAATGTATCACTCAAGTTGTTAATTCTTTACTGATTAAGTTGACGAGAGAGTGTCAAACATAATTTTATCTCAGCACGATTATTTTCTTGTAGTTAGACTACATATTTGCTTTGTTTTTAAACAATGTAAGAAGATTTTTTTTTAAAGAAATTTATTCAGTGAAGAAATTTCTGATGTAACAAAAAAAAATCATCTGTTTAGAATTTACTTATTTTTATGACTCACCTAATTTTTATCGGATATACTGATATTGGGTTTGATTTTTGACTGAGGTTATATATGTATGGTTTTGATATCTAGTAACAAATTAAGATGATACATCGTTTAAGAACATTCTATGTTTGATTCAACTCCTTAAGTCAATGTCATTTTATGATAAAAAAAAATAGTTTCTTGATATATTTAGCAATTCTTATGCAAAATTTATTAACATAGTTATTTTCAGTTTAAGCGTTTCGAACTAAATTGAATTTTCAGTTATAGTACTATTGTTTATGAAACATGTGTTTAAGTGTCGTATACTTAGCTAAAGAGTTTACTTGTGTATGCTCAATACTAGCCGACTGTGCAATGAGTTAAGAGAAAAAAAAGAAGGGCCATCTAATCGATTATATAAAATTGATCTGTGAAGTCGTTAGCCATTGGTATGTTTGATCTGTGTTGAAAAGTATAAACTACTTGGTTGGAGTTCGTATCTTTGTATTCATTTAATTGATAGGTTTTATTATTATTATTATTATCCCATACTTCTAATTCCACGATATCGTTTGAAACTTTATAGTTATATTCTCTGTTCATTTGTTTTCTCTTATCCATGTTACTGTTGTTGATTCTAATAGTGCTTGTTTTAAAGAATGCTAACTTAAAAATGTATATATTTTTCTAAGTTTTTATATTGTTTTTGTGATTAATTGATATGGTTGACGGAAATGAATTCACTTACATTTAAATAAATATAAAGAAATCATTTATTATAAATGTTATGATTTCAACTATCAATTTATTTTGTATACACTCATTTAGATTGAAATGTTGAACAAAAACAAGTTTTTATAGAAGCAGTACAATTTGGATTAGAAACTATCATATTACAAACTAAATCATTGTCAATTAAATTGTATGATTATAATTCAAATTCGAAATTGTCGAAAATAAAATTCAATGTGAAAATTATTTGAACAATTTTAAAATCTTTATGATAAAATATTAGAAGATGATAGATTAAAAACAACGAATAGAGCTGAAATACCGGATAATGATATTAATTGTTTAGTAATTGCTCGAACAAATCAAGCTATGGAAATTAATGAACTTTGTCATAAAATGGATCAAATTAATTGGATTAATTCTTGGGAAGGGTTATTAGAATACACTAATGAAGAAGTAACTATTGAACAAGGATATTTTAAACTATGGATAATATACTTTCTTCAACAATTTCAAGATTTCTCATCAAAAATCAATCTAGATGCAATATTTTCATGTCCAAATAAACCAATTGAAAGGATCAACATAATTGGTCAGATTGATCAAAAAGGTTAGTTATGATAATGAGTGTTTTGTTATTGTTGTTGTTGTTGTTGTACTGTGATTGTATAATAAGTGTTGTATGTATTAAGATTACTGATTGTTGTATCTGAACACAACATAGGTAGGCTTCAATTGTAGGAACTATATATACTTACAAGGTATAATACTCTTTTTTTCTATCCTAATGTTTGGTGATATTCTCAGTCGAGTATTTTTAATTACTCTTCTTCACATGGTAACTGAAAAGAATGAAACTTTTTGATTTGAATAGATTAAAAGTATCAAATATCAGTAAACATAAAACCAGACATGGTCAGTATTGCAGATGGATTATCTGCACTGACTGTAATTGGTAATGATAAAGACTACTGAACTACTGTGTACATAAAAATTACAATTATGCGCCTATTTATGCGATATTTATTCCATTAAAAAAAAAAAACAACAACACTGAATCGAAGCATTCATACTTTGATTTACAATTTCTACTAACATTATATCATATATAATTGTTAAGAATCGAATTCACCACAACTATCTGGATACTACTAAACTGAATAACTCAAACCACACTTTGTACGTACATATAACAGGTCAATTTGCCATACCACAATAACACAGAGATGTAATTGTCAATTCAAATCCCATAGTAGTAGAGGTAGCAAAAGTATTATCAGTAATCGGAAATTTTAGAGTTCCAAGAGATTTTTCAAGAAGTAAAATATAGTGAAATAAACTTAACGCAATTGATGAACGTGCTGAGGGAATCTGAACGTTACAATTCGAGAGAACACAATGAATGAATGCACCTCTGCCAGTGCAAACGATTTTGAGCCATGTCATTCAAAGTTTATAACTAGCGATTACTATCATCTCGCAGACCCCAACCAGGTAGTCGACACCTACAGACAAACAGACAGAAAGATATAGCGCAAAACTTCATACGTAAGTACATCATTTCAGGTTGCCATACCGCATTAGCACAGAGACGCCACCGTCAGTTCAAATCACATAGTAGCAGCGATAGTAGAAGTATTAGAAGTAATGGAGAAGATTAGGGAGCGAAGATATGATTCGAGAAGCATAATTCAGTGAGATAAATTGAGAAGGAGAAAGGTAGAAATGATGAGGAATTCAAAACATTAGAATTTGAGAGAACAAAAAGAAAGAATGCACTTGCGAAATTGCAAACGATTTTGAGTCACGTCGTTCAAGGTCTCTAACCATTGGTGAATTTCGTCTCACGGACCCCAACCAGATAGCCTACATCTACCAACATGACTCAGTCCATTTGTCAGTGACTTCATTGATTTCTGCCATGTTTTGGTCTGGCCGCCTTAACTTTCTTCCAACCTACTCATACACTGCAAAACATAGCTCGTCGAGGCAGTCGGTTTTCAGGCATACGTAACACATGTTCCAACCACCTCAACTGATGAAGTTTGAATACTTCATCTATTGATCTGCCATCCCTTCCTAGCACTCGTTTCCTAACGACAGCATTGCTTACTCGGTCGTGCCAGGATACACGAGCAGTGCTTCGAAGATATCTCTAATTGAATACTGATAACCTACGAATATCCTCTACTCTTAACGAGTAGAGGATATTCGTAGGTTATCAGTATTCAATTAGAGATATCTTCGAAGCACTGCTCGTGTATCCTGGCACGACCGAGTAAGCAATGCTGTCGTTAGGAAACGAGTGCTAGGTAGGGATGGCAGATCAATAGATGAAGTATTCAAACTTCATCAGTTGAGGTGGTTGGAACATGTGTTACGTATGCCTGAAAACCGACTGCCTCGACGAGCTATGTTTTGCAGTGTATGAGTAGGTTGGAAGAAAGTTAAGGCGGCCAGACCAAAACATGGCAGAAATCAATGAAGTCACTGACAAATGGACTGAGTCATGTTGGTAGATGTAGGCTATCTGGTTGGGGTCCGTGAGACGAAATTCACCAATGGTTAGAGACCTTGAACGACGTGACTCAAAATCGTTTGCAATTTCGCAAGTGCATTCTTTCTTTTTGTTCTCTCAAATTCTAATGTTTTGAATTCCTCATAATCTCTATCTTTCTGCTTTTAAATTTATCTCACTGAATTATACTTCTTGAATCATAGCTTCACTCCCTTATCTTCTCCATTACTGCTAATACTTCTACTACAGCTATCACTATCTGTTTTGAACTGACATAGGCGTCTCTGTGCTAATGCGATATGGCAACCTGAAATGATGTACTTACGTATGAAGTTTTGCGCTATATCTTTCTGTCTGTTTGTCTGTAGGTGTCGACTACCTGGTTGGGGTCTGCGAGATGATAGTAATCGCTAGTTATAAACTTTGAATGACATGGCTCAAAATCGTTTGCACTGGCAGAGGTGCATTCATTCATTGTGTTCTCTCGAATTGTAACGTTCAGATTCCCTCAGCACGTTCATCAATTGCGTTAAGTTTATTTCACTATATTTTACTTCTTGAAAAATCTCTTGGAACTCTAAAATTTCCGATTACTGATAATACTTTTGCTACCTCTACTACTATGGGATTTGAATTGACAATTACATCTCTGTGTTATTGTGGTATGGCAAATTGACCTGTTATATGTACGTACAAAGTGTGGTTTGAGTTATTCAGTTTAGTAGTATCCAGATAGTTGTGGTGAATTCGATTCTTAACAATTATATATGATATAATGTTAGTAGAAATTGTAAATCAAAGTATGAATGCTTCGATTCAGTGTTGTTGTTTTTTTTTTTAATGGAATAAATATCGCATAAATAGGCGCATAATTGTAATTTTTATGTACACAGTAGTTCAGTAGTCTTTATCATTACCAATTACAGTCAGTGCAGATAATCCATCTGCAATACTGACCATGTCTGGTTTTATGTTTACTGATATTTGATACTTTTAATCTATTCAAATCAAAAAGTTTCATCTTTTTCAGTTACCATGTGAAGAAGAGTAATTAAAAATACTCGACTGAGAATATCACCAAACATTATGATAAAAAAAGAGTATTATACTTGTAAGTATATATTCCTACAATTGAAGCCTACCTATGTTGTGTTCATACAACAATCATAATCTTAACATAAAACACTTATTATACAATCACAAGTACAACAACAACAACAACAATAACAAAACACTCATTATCATAACTAACCTTTTTGATCCAATCTGACCAATTATGTTTGATCTTTTTCAATTGGTTTATTTGACATGAAAATATTGCATCTAGATTGATTTTTGATGAGAAATCTTGAAATTGTTGAAGAAAGTATATTATCCATAGTTTAAAATATCCTTGTTCAATAGTTACTTCTTCATTAGTGTATTCTAATAACCCTTCCCAAGAATTAATCCAATTAATTTGATCCATTTTATGACAAAGTTCATTAATTTCCATAGCTTGATTTGTTCGAGCAATTACTAAACAATTAATATCATTATCCGGTATTTCAGCTCTATTCGTTGTTTTTAATCTATCATCTTCTAATATTTTATCATAAAGATTTTTAAATTGTTCAAATAAATTTTCACATTGAATTTTAATTTTTGACAATTTCGAATTTGAATTATAATCATACAATTTAATTGACAATGATTTAGTTTGTAATATGATAGTTTCTAATCCAAATTGTACTGCTTCTATAAAAACTTGTTTTTGTTTCAACATTTCAATCTAAATGAGTGTATACAAAATAAATTGATAGTTGAAATCATAACATTTATAATAAATGATTTCTTTATATTTATTTAAATGTAAGTGAATTCATTTCCGTCAACCATATCAATTAATCACAAAAACAATATAAAAACTTAGAAAAATATATACATTTTTAAGTTAGCATTCTTTAAAACAAGCACTATTAGAATCAACAACAGTAACATGGATAAGAGAAAACAAATGAACAGAGAATATAACTATAAAGTTTCAAACGATATCGTGGAATTAGAAGTATGGGATAATAATAATAATAATAAAACCTATCAATTAAATGAATACAAAGATACGAACTCCAACCAAGTAGTTTATACTTTTCAACACAGATCAAACATACCAATGGCTAACGACTTCACAGATCAATTTTATATAATCGATTAGATGGCCCTTCTTTTTTTTCTCTTAACTCATTGCACAGTCGGCTAGTATTGAGCATACACAAGTAAACTCTTTAGCTAAGTATACGTCACTTAACACATGTTTCATAAACAATAGTACTATAACTGAAAATTCAATTTAGTTCGAAACGCTTAAACTGAAAATAACTATGTTAATAAATTTTGCATAAGAATTGCTAAATATATCAAGAAACTATTTTTTTTTATCATAAAATGACATTGACTTAAGGAGTTGAATCAAACATAGAATGTTCTTAAACGATGTATCATCTTAATTTGTTACTAGATATCAAAACCATACATATATAACCTCAGTCAAAAATCAAACCCAATATCAGTATATCCGATAAAAATTAGGTGAGTCATAAAAATAAGTAAATTCTAAACAGATGATTTTTTTTTGTTACATCAGAAATTTCTTCACTGAATAAATTTCTTTAAAAAAAATCTTCTTACATTGTTTAAAAACAAAGCAAATATGTAGTCTAACTACAAGAAAATAATCGTGCTGAGATAAAATTATGTTTGACACTCTCTCGTCAACTTAATCAGTAAAGAATTAACAACTTGAGTGATACATTATTGATAATGCATTATTGATAGTAGGCAAATTTGCTAATGACAATTATATCATCATCTCATTGTACAAGTTTGAACATGATACAAATGTTACAATCTTATTTCAAACGTTTACGTAGTTAAATATGATTTTTTTTTATATATATAAACTATTTTAAACCGTTGGACTACATACATTTATAGCATATTTTCATATATTGTATACTCATAGAACATATTATACAAATTGCATAGCACAAATTTAATGTCTTTTGGCACAAAATGAATCATCATGAATTGTATAGTACATTTCTCAATACTAAAGAATGAAATCAATACAGTTCAAAACTTAAATAATAGAATATTAGATCTGCCGATTTCAGGTAGTGTAGGGAAAATCATAGGGGTAGTTGGTGGGATTTTATCATAAATACATCGAACAAATATAGCATAAAGTTACAGATTTGAAGAGGTTAAGTGTCGAAACTGGTCAGCCAATGGACTAGAAGGACAATTGATGAGTAGATCGATCATTACATAGAAATCATGGATAGAAATTTTCTTGTCAATACAAAACTATTTACTTACTGCTTCTGAACGTAATTCATTCGCTATTACTGTTCTCAATGGATATCTTTCAGATTCAACAACACCTCCAGCACGAATAACTCGTTCTAACGAATGACGAATGACAAAGTAACCATAAGTCCATGTAGTTAACACATGAAGCATATCTTTCACAGCATTCGACTCATAATGATCTAAATTGGAAAGGCTTATTTTATGCAAAAGACTTAAAGATTGATTACATAGCAGATAATTACGTTCACATAAATTACGTAAACGCCGTAACTCTTGTAACATGACACGCAACTGATCAGACTGATGGGAAACACTGAAAGTGTTATCAATTAACTCTAAAGAAAATACACGACACTGATCAGGAATTTCATATAAACTATATTCTAATTGTTTTAATAGTGGTGTTATTAAGCTATGATTAGAATTGTGTAGCGTAGAATTGACATTATCCATTGATAACATGGTGAACTTTTCAATGTATTTATTTAAATATTGTTTCAATTTGTGTAATGTTTCGGTGAATTGTTTACTTATCGAACAAGATGTTTCTATTTGAACATTGTACTTCTCTTGAATTATTTCCGCATCACATAATAAAGACCAAAGTATAGCAAAATGAAATTCTTTATTTATTGATTTGTCAAATAAATGATGTTTTCTTGATTGTTGATGATCATAAGGTAAAGATGCCAAGTTAGGAGGTAGATTTTGGAACCTAACAATAAAAAAAATTACTATATAAAATTAATATTAAAATCTATTGACTATGATCATATAATTTATTAAAATCAATAATGTCAATCACGGTACAAATATCATTCTCGTAAATAAGTACACATAACATGTATATATATATATATATATATCCTTGGTGCTTTAAATGTTTTGACACGTATTTTCGATGTTAGACATTTTAATACACACACGTGGTCATCATTAATGTGAACAGATTGTACAACACAGAATTATGAACGACTGGATATCAGGAAACAGAACGTGAACCAGTGACATAATAACGGAACAATTAGCTATTCTCTGCTGCCCAGCCAAGCTGACTAAAGAAATAAGTCTGAAATCAGAAGGAAGATTGTATAATCCACGAACGGCCCCGACTGAACGAATTAGTAAACATTCAACTCAAGCGTAATTTATACAGTACAAAAACGTGACCTTGGAAGAGTTATAAAATAGCACACTAAAAGAGAAGACTAACCAATGGGGTCTAACTAAGAAACACAAACTGAATGTAACAAAACTTCCAAGATTAAATTACAAAATCAAGAGGTTCACCAAGCGATTTCTGCGAAACTAGCATTACCAACTATTCTACATTGCACCTATGAGTCTGTGATTAAATTCCAGTTATTGACAAGAAACTTACTAAGATACAACAGTTATCAACTACTTTCTGGTTTAGTTGATAAAAAAATACCTAAAAGCCGAACAATCTTTACAAACACCAACGATTATTATCTCCTCATTAGTGTAGGTAGATACGAGGAAGAGGCAACAGCGAGTAACCTATCTTCTGATTCCTTACTGTCCCGTTCAGTCTGACAGTGCAAAATCGACTATCTACTGGGATCCAGTCTAGGAGTGCTAGTTCTTCCCTACGACTTAATGCTATACCTTTACCAGCGAGACCCCGGGAAGCAGCATCATGGCTACTAGATACACAAAGAGTAAATCGAGCTGCTTATTTATTTTGACAAGGTGAAATCAAGTTAGTGATTTTACTAGGATCCTGCATGCACGTTTCGGAGACACAGCATACATCTATGGCGCGAGGTCCTAGAGTCCTAGCTAAGGAAGCCTGTTGCCCTATTTGACACAATGTCCGTACATTAAATGCTCCAAATTGTAGACTAGAACGAGGTTTCAGGAGACCAGGATAACGTCTCGTGAACTCGCATCGTTTACATTAGCGGTACGGGATGATAAAGAAATGTGGGTATAGTCAATCGTGGAGATAAGAGAGATGTTACGGGGTGTAGGAAGGATTTGTTTGTGACCGATTTGGTGTCGCGTGCTATTACGAGTATGGGAGTGGATGTCACTTCCCGGCTGCCCACACCGTGGAAGGGTGTTTCTTGAGGAACCTGAAAAG